AGCGAGCGGTGACGTAATCGAGCTGATAAGACCAAAGCTCCCAACAGAGAGTTGCGGCGTAATAAGTTCTTGCAGCCAGGGCACAGGGACGGGCGGCAACGCGTGGACAACGAGCGGCCCACGCAAGGACAACGCGGGGTTTTGGAAAGCGGACAGCCCAAACGCGGAAAACGCAACGCGACCCGACCGCCCCTTGCAAAACAAGAAACGCGCTCAAAGAAAGCTCCGCGACTCTCCGAGGCTGAGATAGGACAAGAGCGAGGGGAAGGGAGTCAATAAGAGGTGTAAGAGCGGACGAGCCAGCGATGCCGTGCGCCCTGAAAGTATGTGCGCTTTCCGCCCCCGTGCCAAGCAGGTCGAGGTGCCTTCCCGCCTCGTTTTTTATCGAGTCGGACGGCCTTCGGGGCTTAAAAACAGCGTTTCGCTCGAGACAGCATCGGAAAACGCTTCTTGGGCGCTTCTTGGGCCGTCTCAGGCGCCTAAGACATCCCAAGAAGCGGCCAAGGCAACGCCCAAGACGGCCCAAGACGCCCCAAGAAGCGCCCAAGACGGCTCCAAATCGCTCCAAGAGAGCCCAAGACCGCCCAAGGCGGCCCCAAGACGTCCCAAGAGGCCTCCACGACGCCCCAGGAGGCGCCCACGAGGCGTCCCAAGAGGGCCCCACGATGCCAAAGTCATTGATTTGTTTAAGGGAAACGTGTTTTTTAGCATATACGGTTTTTCGCCGTTCATGGCGTTGAAGACGGTCCAAGAGGCCCCAAGACCGCCCCAAGACGGCCCAAGACGTTCCCAAGAGGCCCCCAAAATAGCCCAAGAGGGCGCCAAGACGGGCCAAGAGGCGCCCAAGACTCCCCAAGAGGCCCCCAAGAGCGCCCCAAGAAGGCCCAAGAGGCCCCCAAGAGGGCCCAAAAACGGCCCAAGAGGGTGCCAAGACAGCCCAAGAGGCGCCAAGACGGCCCCAAGAAGGCCCCAAGAGGCCCCCAAGAGAGCCCAGAGACTGCCAAAGGCAGCCTAGTCCATTCACCCCCGCCACCCAGAAGCTCCCAGGAGGCCCCAAAAGCCCCCAAGAGGCACCCACGAGGCCCCCCAAGAGCCCACGACGCCTCAGGAGGCGCCCACGAGGCGTCCCAAGAGGGCCCCAAGTAGCCAAAATCATTGATTTGCTTAAGGAAAACGTGTTTTTTCTAGCGTTTACGGTTTTTCGCCTTTCATAGCGTTGAAGACGGTCCAAGAGGCCCCCAAGACGGCCCAAGATGTTCCCAAGAGGCCCCCAAAATAGCCCAAGAGGGCGCCAAGACGGGCCAAGAGGCGCCCAAAATTGTCCAAGAGGCCCCCAAGAGCTCCCCAAGAAGGCCCAAGGGGCCCCCAAGAAGGCCCCAAAACGGCCCAAGAGGCGCCAAGACGGCCCAAGACGGCACCAGGACGGCCCCAAGAAGGCCCCAAAAGGCCCCCAAGAGAGCCCAGAGACGGCCAAAGGCAGCCTGGTCCCTTCACCCCCGCAGCCCAGAAGCTCCCAGGAGGCCCCCAGAGGCCCCCGAAAAGCCCCAAAAGGTCCCCAAGAGGCACCCAAGAGGCACCCCAAGAGCCCCCCAAGAGGCCCAATGTACTCCCAAAGGCTCTTAGCACCGCGGCTCCTAAGAGCGAGCGGTGACGTAATCGAGCTGATAAGACCAAAGCTCCCAACAGAGAGCTGCGGCGTAATAAGTTCTTGCAGCCAGGGCACAGGGACGGGCGGCAACGCGTGGACAACGAGCGGCCCACGCAAGGACAACGCGGGTTTCTGGAAAGCTGGCAGCCCAAACGCGGAAAACGCAACGCGACCCGACCGCCCCCTGCAAAACAAGAAACGCGCTCAAAGAAAGCTCCGCGACTCTCCGAGGCTGAGATAGGACAAGAGCGAGGGGAAGGGAGTCAATAAGAGGTGTAAGAGCGGACGAGCCAGCGATGCCGTGCGCCCTGAAAGTATGTGCGCTTTCCGTCCCCGTGCCAAGCAGGTCGAGGTGCCTTCCCGCCTCGTTTTTTATCGAGTAGGGCGGCCTTCGGGGCTTAAACACAGCGTTTCGCTCGAGACAGCATCGGAAAACACTTCTTGGGCGCTTCTTGGGCCGTCTTAGGCGCCTAAGACAGCCCAAGAAGCGGCCAAGGCAACGCCCAAGACGGCCCAAGACGCCCCAAGAAGCGCCCAAGACGGCCCGAGAGCGCCCCAAGAGAGCCCAAGACCGCCCAAGGCGGCCCCAAGACGTCCCAAGAGGCCTCCACGACGCTCCAGGAGGCGCCCACGAGGCGTCCCAAGAGGGCCCCAAGTGGCCAAAATCATTGATTGTCTTAAGGGGAACGTACATGTGTAGCATATACGGCTGTTCGCCTTTCATGGCGTTGAAGACGGTCCAAGAGGCCCCCAAGACCGCCCCAAGACGGCCCAAGATGTTCCCAAGAGGCCCCAAAATAGCCCAAGAGGGCGCCAAGACGGGCCAAGAGGCGCCCAAGACTGTCCAAGAGGCCCCCAAGAGCGCCCCAAGAAGGCCCAAGAGGCCCCCAAGAGGGCCCCAAAACGGCCAAAGAGGGCGCCAAGACGGCCCAAGAGGCGCCAAGACGGCCCCAGACGGCCCGAAGAAGGCCCCAAGGGGGCCCCAAGAGAGCCCAAAGACGGCCAAAGGCAGCCTAGTCCCCTTCACCCCCGCAGCCCAGAAGCTCCCAGGAGGCCCCAAGAGGCCCCCGAAAAGCCCCAAAAGGTCCCCAAGAGGCACCCAAGAGGCTCCCCAAGAGCCCCCCAAGAGGCCCAAAATACTCCCAAAGGCTCTTGGCACCGCGGCTCCCAAGAGCGAGCGGTGACGTAATCGAGCTGATAAGACCAAAGCTCCCAACCGAGAGCTGCGACGTAATAAGTTCTTGACGCCAGGGCACAGGGACGGGCGGCAACGCGTGGACAACGAGCGGTCCACGCAAGGACAACGCGGGGTTCTGGAAAGCTGGCAGCCCAAACGCGGAAAACGCAACGCGACCCGACCGCCCCCTCCAAAACAAGAAACGCGCTCAAAGAAAGCTCCGCGACTCTCCGAGGCTGAGATAGGACAAGAGCGAGGGGAAGGGAGTCAATAAGAGGTGTAAGAGCGGACGAGCCAGCGATCTCGTGCGCTCTGAAAGTAAGTGCGCGTTCCGTCCCCGTGCCAAGCAGGTCCAATGGCCTTCGGCCCATTCCGCCCCCGTGCTGGTATTGTAGGCCTCTTGGGAGCCCCTTGGGGGCAGTTTGGAGGCCTCTTGGGGGCCCCTTGGGGGCCTCTTGGGAGCCTCTTGGAGGCCTCTTGGACCTTCCTGGGGGCATCTTGGGGACTCTTGGGGGCCTCTAGGGTCCTCCTGGGGGCCTCTCGGGGCCGAGAGCTTGAAAAATGTCCAGTCTTGTCCCCCTTCTGGGCCCCCTGTTGGAACTGTCTTGAGGGGCTCTTGGGCCATCTTGGAGGCCTCTTCAGCCGTCTTGGTGCCCCCTTGGGCAGTTTTGGGGGCCCTATTGGAGGCCTCTCGGGCCATCTTGGGGCGATGGTGGGCGCCTCTTGGGCCGTCTTGGAGCGGCGGGAGGCCGAAAAGGCGAGAACGCCAAAATCTTTCAAAACCACAGGAAATCAATAAACTGTGCCTCTTAGAAGGCCTCTTGGAGGTCTCTTGGGGCGTCTTGGAGGCCTCGTCGGCAGTCTGGAGGCCATCTTGGGCGTCTTGGACCAATCGCTCGGCAACTCGGGCCCTTCTCGGACTGACTCGGGGGCCTCGTGGGGCCCTCTCGGACCCCGTCTGGGGGCCCTTTAGAGCCCAAAAAAATTCACGCGGCCAGCGGACCCAGACCGCCGGAGATTTGGCAGCTTGGGGTCCGGGTTCCTTAAGAGCCATCCTTATTCCAGGGGATTGAGGACTACAACAAGGGAGTTGAGGACACACCCGCTCCGTGCCCGAGGGCACGGTGGCGGATAAGGAAGAGGAACGGGGAGGAGGAGGAAGTGGAGGAGGAGGAGAAGGATGAAGAAGAGGAGGAGGAGGAGGAAGAGGAAGAGGAAGAGGAAGAGGAGGAGGGCAACGTCGTTATCGACCTCGATGCCAGCAGCGACAGGAGGAGGGAGGATGAGAGTGACAGAGCAGGAGGAACTTCGAGCAGAACAAGATTGCCGGCGCAGGCCGACTGAATCATTGTGATGCGTTCGGAAGTGGTGTATTGATTCGAGTGGATTTCACCTTCTTGTTTGAAGCCCACCAGGTGTGACGTGGCGTATGGACGCATGCCAGATGTATTGGAAAATTGCCTATCCGCTATAGAGGCCGAAACTCGCGTTCTCGATGTAGGTCTCGACGCACCAGTCGAGATCGCAATTTTCAAAGCAGAGAAGCCCAAGGAAAGTGAGGGCACCCTGGCAGATATGTAGACGAACCGTCGGGGTAAGAATTAGAGTACGCTACGGTATCGTATCAGCTCGGGGGCACAAGAACACGAACAATTGCTACATTCGATTGTTCGCGTGTTGGCCCTCTCTGTCTGTCTGTTTGTCTCTCTCTCTCTCTCTTTCTCTCCTTGTTTCTCGTGTGGTCCCTGCCAGCAGCCTCCATTGTAAAGAATGTGGAGGTGCCCAGTGGAGGAGGCTGGCTACAGCAGGCACATCAGATAAGAAACCAGCCCGCCAGCAGATCCCCGTGAGATTTTCTTGGTCACCGATGGGCCCAGAACCTGTGTGGCACCCTGCGAAGCTCAAGGTCGACGCAGGATGTGCCTATCTAGATTACGCCTGGTGAGGTGTCCTGTCGTGCGCATATGCTATGCACCTGGCGAGAAGGAGGGAGGGGGAAAGGCATCTGACGGGGGGAGGGCCCCTTCGTGGTCATGCATGTCAGCACAGGTCTAAGGATGCGCATTTATCGGGCCAATGTCTGGATGTATTGGCAAGACGAGGGGCCCACCAGCCAACGACAGTGGCGGGCTGCAGTTCGATGTGTTGTTTCTGCCTTGTATCCTCCGCCCAGAGGCGGATATCGTCGTGGGCGTGCACGGTTCTGGCCAGGCGAACATGGTGTTCTGTCAGGAGGGTGCTGGAGCCGTCGCCCCAGACCGGGAGACAGCGCTATGGTCAAGCTCGGATGGGTCGCGACTCCGGACGGCCTTTCGCGTCCAATATTTTTGTTTTGAAGACCATCACAGCGCAGCATTAAGTGCACACTAACAGCGCCCCCCACTTCGAAAGGGCAACGGTATACACCCGCAGCGTTTCCACTTCGCACTTTTGTTGGATCGTCAAGGCCTGAAGAAATTGGAGAGAGTGCCTTCCACGAACGCCATGCGTCGCAAACTTCCCTCTGGAACCCGAAGCCCCCCCTCCGCCCCCCCGAAAATCAAGCACCCACACCCCGCTCGAAAGTCGGGGCGGAGGGCGGGGTTATAACCCACGTCCACCTTTGCGAGCGGGCCAACGACGACGCTGACAACGAACACGACCACGAAGACGACGCTGACGAAGACGACGACGACGACGACGACGACGACGACGACGACGACGACGACGACGACGACGACGACGACGACGACGACGACGGCGGCGGCGACAACGATGACGACGGCGACGACGACGACGACGACGACGACGACGACGACGACGGCGGCAGCGGCGACGACGGCGGCGGCGGCGACGACGACCATGACGACGACTACGACGACGCTGACGACGACGACGACGACGACGACGACCACGACGACGACGACGACGACGACGGCGACGACGACGACGGCGACGGCGACGACGACGACGACGGCGGCGGCGGCGACGACGGCGGCGGCGACGACGACGACCATGACGCTGACGACGACGACGACGACGACGACGACGACGACGACGACGACGGACGACGACGACGACGACGACGACGACGACGACCACGACGACGACGGCAGCGACGACGACGACGACGGCGGCGACGACGACGACGACGACGACGACGGCGGCGGCGGCAACGACGGTGGCGGCGGCGGCGACGACACTACCATGACGACGACAACGACGACGACGCACGACGTCGACGACGACGACGACGACGACGACCACGACCACGACGACGACGACGACGACGACGACGTTGGCGGCGGCGGCGGCGGCGGCGGTGGCGACGACGACGACGACGAGGATCGACGACCACGATGACGTCAACGACGACGCTGGCGTAACATGAAAGGCGGCGGGCTTTTCGTACAGGCGGAACCGTAACGAAGGGGCCAGGCGGGCGGGACATGAATGCGGGCGGGTGGGTTTTCAAGCACTCAAGCGGGCGCCACTCTAACGGGTGGGTCGGGTAGGCGGAATCCTAACGGTCGGGCTTGATGGGCGAGCTAGGTAAGTTCGACAAAGCGGGCGGGCTGGCGGGACATTAAACGAGAATCTCGCCCGTTGATAGGACAATGTGCGTCGACGTCGTCAGTGTCGTCGTCGTCGCCAGCGCCAACGTCAGTATCGTCGTCGTCGTCGCGGTCGTCGTCGTCGTTGTCGTATTTGTCGTGTTCGTCGCTCTCCCCCCCAACGCAGGGAGGATAGAAACAGAGCCCTCCCAGTACTTCGCCATCGATCGCCAGCAAACGACGACGACGTCAATGCCGATGCTGGCGCCCACGATGGCGCCGACGACAACGGCGACGCCGACGATGGTGACGACTCCCACCCCCGCCCGACCCGATGAATGTCCCGCCCGTCCGCTTTAAGTGCTGTCCCGCCCGACCCGCCCGCTTTGATGTCCAGCCCGCCCGACCCGCCCGTCGGCTCGAAGTTCCCGCCCGCGTCATCGTCGTCGTCGGTCATCGTCGTTCTCCCCGCCGTCGTCGTCGATCGTCGTTGGCGTCGTCGTCGTCGTTGTCGTCGTCGTCGTTGCCAGCGCATGGGGTTTGATCGGGACCCCTCTCATTTGCACTGGGGGAGGCAAGGGGGAGGTTCGCATCCCCCCCCCCGCTTCCTCGGAGGGGTGGGGAGCGGTCGACTTTCGCACCTGCCAACCCAGGAATGCGGCCGCCAGCCAACCCGAGAAACGTGTCGCTCAAAACTAAGAGTGTTGCCGTGGACGGGAAGTTGGGGATTGCAGCGCGCGGGCGATGGTACCATGTCTCCGCCGACCCCAAAGCAGAATTTCTTTGGCTCGGGCCCATAATGTTTTCACGTGACGAGCCGAGCATAGTAGTGTGTGTGTGTGTGTGTGTGTGTGTGTGTGTGTGTGTGTGTGTGTGTGTGTGTGTGTGTGTGTGTGTGTGTGTGTGTGTGTGTGTGTGTGTGTGTGTGTGTGTGTGTGTGTGTGTGTGTGTGTGTGTGTGTGTGTGTGTGTGTGTGTGTGTGTGTGTGTGTGTGTGTGTGTGTGTGTGTGTGTGTGTGTGTGTGTGTGTGTGTGTGTGTGTGT